AGTATACTAACACATATATATGGAATTTAGAAAGATGGTAACGATAACCCTATATGCAAAACAGAAAAAGAGACTCAGATGTATAGAACAGACTTGTGGACTCTGGGAGAAGGCGAGGGTGGGATGTTTCAAGAGAACAGCATTGAAACATGTATATTATCTAGGGTGAAACAGATCACCAGCCCAGGTTGGGTGCATGAGACAAGTGCTCGGGCCTGGTGCACTGGGAAGACCCAGAGGGATCGGGTGGAGAGGGAGGTGGGAGGGGGGACCGGGATGGGGAATACATGTAAATCCATGGCTAATTCATTTCAATGTATGACAAAAACTACTGTAATGATGTAAAGTAATTAGCCTCCAACTAATAAAAATAAATGGGAATAAAAAAAAAAAAGAAAAAAAAAAGAATTGGTCATGTGACACAACCATAGGGTGAAATAAGGTGTAGTCAATTGAAATCATATTTACAAGGAATTTTTAAAGTCTCAGTAAGATGTTTATGATATAATGTTAAGTGAAAAGGAGTAGGATACAAAACTAAAGATCTCAGCTACTAAAATACACATGGAAGATATAGACTCGAGAGTATGGTATGCTACCATTTTTATATATATATGTAAATATGTATAAAGTATGAATAGACTTCTATGCTTATATATGCTATATAAGACTACCTTTGAAGGATACATAAATTGTTAACATGTTTGCCTCTGGGGAGAGGAACTAGAGATTGGGAATCAGGGGTGGAAGCAACACGTATTTTTCACTGTAAACCTTTAGGTTTCATATTACTTACTTTTTATGCTGAAAGTTAAGAAAATAATGCAAATGACAAACAGTGATAAAATAATAGTAATTTTACTATTTGATAACTTACAAATTGTAAAATTTGAATTATTTAGTGTAATATAAGTGTTTTCAATATATATTATTTATATATATAAAGAGTAGTGCATACACTGGCTTATTATAAAAGTGTAAAAGGATACAACTTAGGAACAGCCAAGTGGAAGAGATGCATAGGGCAGGGTATGTGGAAAGGGAGGTCTTGGAGCTTCCATGGCCTCTCCAGGTATACCACCCTTCCAACACATCAATGTCATCACCAGCCTGGAAGATCTCCATGCCCATTTGGTTAGGGTTGTTTATGAAGACTTCGTTCCTGTAGGCATGATTGATTAAGTCATTGGCCTTTAGTCATCAACTTAATTTCCAGCTCTTCTCATCTCCCCAGAGGTTAGCGGGTGATGCTGAAAGTGCCAGTCCTCTAACATGTGGTTGGTTCCTCTGGCAACAAGCCCCTACTCTGAGGTTGTCCTGGAACCCCAGTCACCAGTCATCTCATTAGCATACAACAAGACACTTTATCACTTCCACTTCCAGACATTCCGAAGGTTTTAGGAGCTCTGCCTGGAACCAGGTACCCAGACCAAATACATATCTTTTATTATATCACAGTGCTCAATAAATGGTAACTGTTACATGTTTATTGTCTCCACCATGTCCCTCATGGAAAATAATGAGTACTTAACAAGTATTTACTGATAATATTAAGGCCCAGGTATACCGCAATATATATACCATTTAAATTAAATAATAAGATATAATTTCAAAATAGATGGCACTCTGGTGTGTGAAAAAATAAAGGAGGAAATGTACTTCAAATATTAATGATGGCAGTTTCTGAATGGATGGGGTGTCTAGTAATTTAATATTTTTCTTTTTTATAGTCTTGTGTTTTTCCCTAACATTTAATAATGGATATATACTTTCAAAGGCGAAATTTTGTCTTGAAAACAAAGAAAGATGACCAGTAGCAGAGCAGAGGATGGTGTGAGGTCATTGTGATTGCTTCCCTTGTCTTAGATAGAAAAAAGCATAATTCCTTTGACTTGCCAGTTCTTGAAATGGGCTCTGCATCTTGTACAATGAAAAACTGAAAAGTTCGAGCTATGAGACAGTTGGATCACGCCAATTGTTCACCTCCAATCTCACTGTCTTCTTTCATGTAAATGCTATGTCTGAGTCTCCAACTGTCCTGGGCATGTTCCACACCCACCCAGTGAGCCTTGCCAAGGGGCAGGCTGATACAGGGGTGGGTGTGTAGGTCTCAATAAAGTTTTGAGAGCTGGGAGAAAAAGAGAAGGAAGAGCAGAGGCCTGCTCACCAGAGAAGGAAGGCTGGTGGTGGCCTATTTCAGGACTTATTATTAAGGGCTGCTAATAATCCTACATATTCATCTGGCTTTTCTTCAGATGAGCTTTTCACCTTCTCCATTTGTCAGCATCTTATCTTTATAGCTCACCTGAGAGGCCCAGAGAGATAAATCCATCTCTTTCTTTTCCTTTGAGGAAAACAGCAGGAATTCCTAAAGAGGATGACACTCTGGACATCTTATGTCAGGGCTGTCCTTCCACCCTCCTCTTGACTACACACCCCGCCCACCTGAGTACCCAGTGTTAAGTAGAAGGAGTGATGGCAGGTGGAGAAGTAGGGTCCCTGCAGAAAAAGAAATAAAAAAGCAAGTAAGACTATGGGGCCGAGTGCTTGATTATGGATGGCATTCAGACTCAAATCATTCTAGAAAATGAGAGGATAGTGGCAGGACTGTGAGTGCTGAGGTCTCAGGGAAGGTCTGGCATGTAATAAATATTTGCCAGATGAATGAATGAGCAAATGAACAGGTAAATAAATGAAGGAGCTAGGCTTTGAAGGATTTGGAATAATAATAACTTATATTCACACTTGTTGGGATTTACCAATTTATTAAGATCTTACTCCTTGTTATCTCATTTGAGTCCTGTAATAGCCCTGTGAGAAAAGCAGGGCAGAAATTGTTCTCCCCATTTTCCAGATTATGAGATTGGGCCCCAGAGTGGTGATGTGACTTTTATTAATTCAGTATACATTTACTGAGTGCTGATTACATACTAGGACTTGTGCTGGAACTAGAGAAATACATTAAGAAAGGAAATACATTAGGTCCAAGATGCTTGGTCTAAAGAAGAAGCTGGAATAGTAAACAGTTCTGAAATGATACAAGTGCTATTGGAGCGCACTGGGAGCCTGGGGCCAGGAGTGCATGCCTCTGCCCTGCCCTGGGGAGGTGAAACTTCACATGGATCTGCAAGGTTGCATAGAAGCTTATTTGAAGGAGAAGAGTATTGTGGGCAGAAAGAATACATAGCTAAAGGGACAGAAGCAAAAAATAACAGCATATTTGGAGTGGAGTATAATTTGGTATGGGCTTCCCTGGTGGCTCAGTGATAAAGAATCCACCTTCCAATGCAGGAGACACGGGTTTGATCCCTGGGTTGGGAAGGTCCCCTGGAAAAGGAAATGACAATCCACTCTAGTATTCTTGCCTGGGAAATCCCATGGACAGAGGAGCCTAGTGGACTACAGTCCGTGGGGTTGCAAAAGAGTTGGACATGATTTAGCAACTAAACCACAACAACAACAGCATAATTCTATAAAAAGTAGCACAGATTGGTAGGGAGAAGTCTTCAGTTCAGTTCAGTTCAGTCGCTCAGTTGTGTCCGACTCTTTGCGACCCCATGAATCACAGCACGCCAGGCCTCCCTGTCCATTGCCAACTCCCGGAGTCTACCCAAACCCATGTCCATTGAGTCAGTGATGCCATCCAGCCATCTCATCCTCTGTTGCCCCCTTCTCCTGCCCCTAATCCTTCCCAGCATTAGGGTCTTTTCTAATAAGTCAACTCTTCACATGAGGTGGCCAAAGTATTGGAGTTTCAGCTTCAACATCAGTCCTTCCAATGAACACCCAGGACTGATCTCCTTTAGGGTGGACTGGTTGGATCTCCTTGCAGTCCAAGGGACTCTCAAGAGTCTTCTCCAACACCACAGGTCAAAAGCATTCATTCTTTGGTGCTCAGCCTTCTTCACAGTCTAACTCTCACATCCATACATGACCACTGGAAAAACCATAGCCTTGACTAGACAGACCTTTGTTGGCAAAGTAATGTCTCTGCTTTTAAATATGCTATCCAGGTTGGTCATAACTTTCCTTCCAGGGAGTAAGCATCTTTTAATTTCATGGCTGGAATCACCATCTGCAGTGATTCTGGAGCCCCCAAATCTGACACTGTTTCCACTGTTTCCCCATCTATTTGCCATGAAGTGATGGGACCAGATGCCATGATCTTAGTTTTCTGAATGTTGAGCTTTATGCAAACTTTTTCACTCTCCTCCTTCACTTTCATCAAGAGGCTTTTTAGTTCCTCTTCACTTTCTGCCATAAGGGTGGTGTCGTCTGCATAATCTGAGGTTATTGATATTTCTCCCAGAAATCTCGATTCCAGCTTGTGCTTCTTCCAGCCCAGCGTGGGAAGGTAAAATTTAGAAAATTTATTCTTTGGTTAGGTGGTTCTTTGTCAATTTGAACAGTTTGGGCTTGATCTTTAGAACTATAGGGAGCCATAAATGTTTTTGAAACAGGAGAATGAGAGCTGTGTGTTGGCTTTTCCTGGAATGTTCAAACATTTGCTGTCTTGACCTTCCTCCCTCCAACCACTCCCAAACTCAGCTTAGGAGCTGTCTCCTAGAGGAGCCTCTCCTTGACCACCATGTCTTCAGGCTGGGTTAGGTGCTTCTGATGAGCTTCCTCAGCCAAGGCTTCCCTCTGTCTTATCACTTATCCACTGCTTTTGTTACTCTGAGTTTTTTACTCTAATCTGTGGCCGCTCAGAGGTCAGACACCATGTCTGATCCATATTTGTATTCTTTGTGCCCAGCACAGGACTTGACTCAGAACAGTGTACTCAGTAAATATTTGCTGAAGGAATATTTGGGAGGAGCTGGTTCCACCCCAATCCTGAGATGACATTGGGGGCAGATTCAGTGCGGGGGTGATTCTGAGTAGTGTCTTTCCTCAGTGATGCTGGGGTGGGGAGTGAGTGTGTGAATGGGTGTGTGAGCATTGAAAGTTAGGTGACTCAGTGTGAGACTGGAGATGTGTTCCTGTGTTCTCTCCCGCAGATGGCTTCAGTGACCGATGGTAAAGCCGGAGTCAAGGATGCTTCTGACCAGAATTTTGACTACATGTTCAAACTGCTCATCATTGGCAACAGCAGTGTCGGCAAAACTTCCTTCCTCTTCCGCTATGCCGATGACACCTTCACCCCAGCCTTCGTCAGCACCGTGGGCATCGACTTTAAGGTGAAGACTGTCTACCGTCACGAGAAGCGAGTGAAGCTGCAGATTTGGGTGAGTGCTGGGCATCTTGGGCAGAAGTGTCCCGAGAGCTGACTTGCTTGCTAGTACAAAGGCTGGGCAGTGGGGCCAGTTTAGAACTTTGCTGGGGTTTATGACATTAGACCCCAGTGCTATTGCATGTCTGGCCCCTGGACTGCCCCTTGCTGATTTGATACATTTGCCCTCATCTGGGGACTCAGTTGCTTCTGCTGCTTAACTGTCCAAGAGGTATTATCCTGGATTATTCAGATGAGCAATCAAGAGTCTGGGCTTCGGAGTTATAGGCCTGGATTCAGGTTTCAGTTTTGCCAGTTACTAGTCATGGAACCTGGACTAAGTTACTTAACCTCTCTAGGTCAAGCATTCCTCTTTGGGGATTATAATGACATCTATATCATAGGGTTGGTGAATGCTTAGCATAGTTCCTGGAATGTAATAAATGTACAGTAAATATTAGCTACTATGTCCATAATCTATCACTGTGTAATCACCTTAAAACTTGATGGCTTAAAACAACAATAATTCATTAACACACAGTTCTATGGATCGAATATTTGGGAGTGGCTTGGTTTCTGGCTTGTGATCTATTATGAGGTTGCTGACAGATGTTGGTTTGGGTTGCAGTCATCTGAAGGCTTGAGTGGACCTGGAGGATTCCTTTCCAAGGTGGCTTACTCATGTGTCTGGCACTGACTTTAGTAGGAGACCTTTGTCCCTTCCTACATGGCTCTCTTCATACAATGTCTTAATGACATGGAGCTAGCTTGTCCTAGGGGGAGCGAGCCAAGAAACCAAACCGGAAGTGGTGATGTCTCTAATTAGAGTATGCTATTGGTCACTAATTCAATGTAGAAGGAAACTATACAAAGGCATGAGTCCTGGGAGGTGAGGATTATTGGGGACCATCTTGGAAACTGGCTATCACAGCTACTATTATTGGTATTTACCAGTGCACTAATAAAATATATACATATTTGAGATGATGATAGCAACATGTACATCATATACTTTTTGATAATGAATTAGTGTTGAGATTGGAAATTTTAAAAATCTGTGATTTAAAGTATTCAAAATGTATTATTTATTATCAGTCCACTCAACATTAATACATTGTACATATATGTTATTAGTATAATCTGTATACAGTGCTTTTTGTTTTATAATTTTTTCCATGTATTAATATTATCTCACAACCCCATGGGACAGATATTCAGAGCATAATTAATTTACCTTAAGTTGACCACACAGCTACAAAGTGAGATTCCAACTCAGATCTTCTGATTCTAAAGTATGAGTTTTTTTTCTCTACACTGTGTTCATTAGGTATTATAGGGCCCATGTTTCCATTTGTGGTCATATTAAGTATTAATTTATATAGAGATAAAAGTTAATTTTGTTTATTTATTCTCTATTACACGCATCAAGGAATCATAAGCCATTGGAAATGGGAGAAACTATGCAGACCATTAAGTTTATTGGTTCTAGAAGTGTGATGTTCAGATCAACAGCATCAGCACCATTAGGAATTTGTTAGAGATGAAGAATCTCAGGTCCCTCCTCACACCCAGAGAATCAGAAACTCTGGGGTATAGCCCAATAATGTGCTATAACAAACCATCCGGGTGTTTTGATGTAGGCTAACAGCTCAGACAGTAAAGCGTCTGTCTGCAATGCAGGAGACCCGGGTTCGATCCCTGGGTTGGGAAGATCCCCTGGAGAAGGAAATGGCAGCCCATTCCAGTATTCTTGCCTGGAAGATCCCATGGACCCCAGAGCCTGGTAGGCTACCATCCATGGGGTCGCACAGAGTCGGACATGACTGAGCGACTTCAATTTCAATTTCAAAATTGAAGAACCACGGATCTAGTTTAACTACCTCATGGTGAGGATCAATCAGCATTTATTAAGTGCCTATTATGTGCCAGTGCTTCCATTTGTGTAGTCTGACATCCTCCCTGCAGCCAGTGCACAGAGGGGGCTGAAAGCACAGGAATATTTGGGGCATGGTGAGCAATCCAGTGAAAATGGAGCAAGGCCGAGAAAGAGTGCGGAGGGGATGCTGAGAGAAATTTGCTGGAGAGGCTGTTGGGTGGCAGTTTGGGCGTTAGAGAGACCTTAGACAGCAAATAAAAGGTTCTTTACATGGGCCAGAGGCTACATGCCTGATTATTCCTTAGGGAGCTGAAGAAACTTACTAGAGTTTATTATCTTTGAATACAAAATCAGTGTATGCTAATACTTGCTATATGGATTTACATGAATGTCTTCATTTGATCTCCACATTAGATGGTCATATATCCTGCACTCAAATACTCTTCAGGAGACAGTCTATATTCTACACTCAAACACCCTTCAGGTGGAAGGAGACAAATCTGCCCTTCTAAGGGATTGGCAGTAGCGGCTCCCTTACTCTTTTATTTATTTTCAGCCCATTGTGAGCTTTTGCAGTTTTCCTATGCCTCATTAAGTGGGTTTATTGATTGCACTATTTTTAACGAAATGAACCGCCATGATATATATGTAGCTTAAAAGAAACCCACAAAGAAGCTTCTGATTGAGGACTATACTAATTATAGTGAGCCTAAGTGAGCACAGAAAATGGCTAGACATGTTTCCCCAACACCTAGCATAAGTTCAATGTTAGCCATGTTTTGAGGTAAAATCAATGACAATCTAATATGATCTGACATAAGCACATTGCTTTTGCTAAAAAAAAAAGATTAGCAAAGGTTTTTGTGTGTGTGTTTGTATGCATGTGTACTTTCTGTAGCAGAAAATAAACATTTCTGTACTGTTCATAAATGCTTTAAAATGTAAGCATTTGAATATTGCCTTTGTCATTGTAGTATATTTTAATATCTTTTGTGTACCGAAGCAGGCAGATATATAGGCTTTGGTAAGTCACTCCACTTTTATGAGTAGATAATATCCTCAACTGTAAAGGTCTCATAGGTTTGTTGAGGGGAAGCCACACGTGATAACATAGTATTGTGCCTGGCACATATTAAGAATACAATAAAAGTTAAGTCCTGTCCTCTCTCTGCTCCTGACCCTTATGCAGACAGTGACTGATTTCCCTCCCAAGGTTTCCCACCTGTGGTTCCAGAAGTGCTGGAATGGCTTCCAGGGATTCATTAACACTGTATGAAGTGTTCAGTTAAATTTCTCAAGCTCATTCAGTCTCTCCCGGGTGATTTCAAAAAACCATTGTCAGGCTGGAAGGTGGAGAGGGAAGAAGAGGAGGTTAATATTGCTGAGCAGGACCATTCACAAGAGGAGTTTCTACCATCTCTGGGGGATCATGAGGGTACTGGTGGTGCCTTGTTTCCCAGTGTCCCTTGCCATATAAGTCCTTGAGAGCCCCTTCTGTGTCCGGAAAGGTTAACTTTTGTGGACTAGAGAAGATAATCTGGGGAGGTAAGGGTAGGGGAGAAATTCCATGAATAGAGAGTGAGAGCATGCACAGGTGTGGAAGGAGGAGGGAGAATTGGTAACCACACAGCTACAGACCTGACTAGAGGCCACTTATTGCTTGGGTGCTGGTTGCCAAGCAACCCCCCGGGACCTGTGGGAAGAGAAGCGTGGGAATTGGCTTTCCACTACCTCCACATGGGATCCATTGTGAGGGCTATTTGGTCTGAGGGAAGGGAAGAATCCGGGGTTCTGTGGGATGATGGAGCCAACCCAGGAATCCTGGGTTTTAGTCCTGACTCTGCCCTGCAGTGTGGTCATCGTGTGATCTGGAGTAACTCTTCCCCTCCATTGGCCTGTTTCCCCAAAGATCAAAAGGAGAAAATAATCCTCTCTCTTCTTGCCTCATGGGATGTTGTGAAGTTCAAGGGAAGACATGGAAAGGAAAGTCCAAGGAGAATTATGAAGCTTTGAGTAGATCGGGATTATGGATATTGTCAGCCATGTGAATTCTTCCTGTATGTGCTTTAAACCATTCTTTGTGTCTTCACATCTTCTCTCTGACCCAAGGAAGTAGTCATCTCCTTAAAGAATGGGTGGATGAGCTTCCCTGGTGGCTCAGTGGTAAAGAATCCATCTGCCAGTGCAGGAAGATATGGGTTTGATCTCTGATCGGGGAAGATCTCACAAGCTACAGCGTAACTAAGCCTGGGCACCACAACTACTGAACCTGTGCTCAAGAGCCTGTGAGCCACAAATGCTGAAGCCCACATGCCCTAGAGCCTCTGCTCTGCAACAAAAGAAGCCACTGCAGTGAGAAGCCCATGCACCACAACTAGAGAGTAGCCCCTGTTCATCGCAACAGCCCATGCAGCAATAAAGACCCAGCACAGCCAAAAATAAATAAAATTATATATATATATGCTTAGTTGCTCAGTCTTGTCTGACTCTCTGTGATCCCATGAACTTTAGCCAGCCAGGCTTCTCTGTCCATGGGGATTCTCCAGGCAAGAATACTGAAGTGGGTTGCCATGCCCTCCTCCAGGTGATCTTCCCAACCCAGGGATTGAACCCAGGTCTCTGCTTTGCAGGTGAATTCTTTACTGTCTGAGCCACCAGGCAGGTATATATATACCCCACCAATATAGGTGGTTGAGCCCAGAGATGTCGAATTACTTGTGCAGAGCCAAACAGTAAACTTCATTCTTTATTCATTCAGTAGACATTTATCTGGTACTCCCTCTGTGCTAGGCACTGTGCTAGCTGTGGGGAAATACTCTTCCTCACACTCTCTTGGAGTTTGGAGTTTTCATTGAAGTGGGGGAGATAGACACTATCTTGTCTATCTGTCGTTCAGTCGCTCAGTCATGTCTCACACTTTGCAGCCCCATGGATTGCAGCATGTCAGGCTTCCCTGTCCACCACCAACTCCTGGAGCTTGCTCAAACTCATGTCCATCAAGTTGGTGATGCCATCCAACCATCTCATCTCTATCGTCCCCTTGTCCCCCTACCTTCAATCTTTCCCAGCATCAGAGTCTTTTCCAATGAGTCAACTCTTTGCATCAGGTGGCCAAAGTAGACACCAAGTATATGAATGAA